TAGTTTCTATGTAACTACTTGTATAAATTACCCAATAAAAGATATGAGCAAGGCCTCACCTTAACACCAAAAAAAAAAAAAAAAAAAAAAAAGCAAATCATAGTATTGAAAAAAAAGATTGGAATAAAACTATAAAAAACTACAGAGAATTTAGAAAACACTATAAACAATTTTGGAATAATAAATAACATATTGGAAGTTTCCAAACCCAGAACTATTATTTGAAGAATTTTACTCAATAAATTATAAACCCATTGAAAAGGTAAATGGACCAAAAAAGAAGCTAACAATAGAACAAATAGAAAAATTATTTGAAATACTTAAACAAGACTTAGAACAAGAACTTGAAGAAGTAGTATTAAGAAGCATAGTACTAGAAGAAAAACCTTTAGATATATATAACTGCTATTGGAACGAAGACTATTTTTGGATAACTGACTATTTACAACACATACAATCTTTAATAAACTCAAAATTTAGAAAGAACAGATTAATACTCATATCTTATAAAGAGTGGGAAAGAAAAAGCAGACAAGAATATTATTGTAACTTACTAGAAAGAATATATTATAAAAGAACAGGAATCTATATAAGAGACCAATTTTATAAATACCAAGACCAAGGACGAGTACAGGTACAAACTTGAAAAGGATTATATAAACACCATGCAAAATTTTGGGAACCAAAATAGAGAGAATTTGAACCAAAACTACAGTATATTCAAGGAATTCTGGAACCAAAGGGACCAACAACAAGAATATACAAACAACTTAAATATACAACAGATAAATCCAGAAATAATGGCATACATGAACAGACCATTGATTTCACATGACTCTCTGAACTTACCTAAAAAGATAATGACCCAAGCAATACTATTTGCAATAATAAACGAAGAAATATTTCTTTCACTAGCTCAAAGAATAAACTCAACCAAATCATTTTTAGAAGCACTAAATAGAATGGGAGGAAAAGGAGAACTTGACAAAGATGGGAATTCAAAAGAAACTATAGAAGCAACAGCTTATAGAGAAATATTTAAAGAAGTACAATTAGTAGTAAAAAATGAGAAATTAATCAAAATACAGGAAAACTCATATTATTCAGACCAAAAATAGATAGCAACGAGATGCCACCCAAACCAAGCAAAATACCTGATAACTTTAGAATTGTTTATATTCCAACTGGAAAAAGAAACACCAAAGAACATGGAATCAGATACATTAGAACCATGACAACTATATTCACTAAAACAGATTGAAGACCAACAATTATTATTAATACCAATGATTCAATATAACCTACATTATATATTTAACAAAATAAGAGATTATCCAGTACTACATGTAATAAATAGGATGAACTTTACTAAACAAATCAAAGTTATGACAAATCAAAGAAAAATATACCCAAATGTATTAGAAGAAATAGATTCGAAATACAAAAAAGAAGAACTTACTGAAATGACTGAAAAAGAACTTGAAGAATTAATAAAGAAAGAAAATAAGGATAATGTTACTGCAAAACAAATCTGAAGAGCAGCTAAGTTAAAGTTAGAAGTACAAAAGAAAATGACACCAATAAAACTTATAGAAAAATGGGCAAATCATTCTAAAAGGATATAAATACTTATCAATATTTGAAAAGAAAGACCAGCTAGAAGTAGCAATAATATTAGAACAGTTTCCAAAAAGTGACCGATCTAAAGAAATTACCAAATAAGATAATGAACAAAGTAAAACAACAATTATATTATTACATCTTATCTTATGATGGAAGTGGCAACACACAAAGAATCAAAATACATCAAACAAATGAATATCAAGTTACACTTGTAACAATAAACTAGCTGTTGAACAAATACAAAAATCTCACACTAATTTAGAAATTACCAGCAATACAGAACCGGCCATCTAATTCTTAACCTTAGCTATTCATGGATATAAACATCCATATTTTTATATGTCCATGTCTATGGACAGTCCATGAACATGTCCATGTCCATTGACAACACTGACTATACTATAAAGTCCTTGCTATGCTTCGGACAAAAAGTAATTACCGGTGTCATACCCAAACTAACCTCTTCTAGTAGTTCAAGAGACAGGGACGATATAGTACTTGGGCTATATCTATAGTAATGTAGAAGGTAAATAGTAAAGTCTTAACTCAACTTTATTAAAGAGGATTTATGTAAGGCTTTATCGAAAGAGACACAACTGCTAATATATATGAGGATATATTAGGTTGTATTGTATTTCTTTAACAATTCTGTTAACAATAGATGTTTAGGTCATGTGGTTATGTGATAACGTTCAAATGAATTTTATTAAATAGAAAATGAAATTTAATGTGTATGAAGACATAGCTACTTTATCTAACCGATAAAGTAACTAACAAATATAAAAGAGGTAAAAATGGATATTTCTATATTGAGAATTCTAAGCTAAGAAAGTTCTAAGCTAAAGTAAGGTGAAAGTAAGAGCCTTAAATACATGTTTTGCAGGAAGTATCTCCCTTAATCTACTATTTCGTTGGTTCGTTCTATTTTTATTTAGTATATTCACTAATTTACTTTGCTTCTCAAGTGAACTACTTAATTAGTTTCGCAAATATTTAATAGACGCGATGTATTCTGCACCTTTACTTATGCATTGTCTTGCAGATCACGCACCTTTATAGCATACATAACTGCGGCGTCCAGGGAACTATAGGGACCATGATTTCTAGCATAACAATTTTTCCCTAACTAATGACGAGCTCCACGCATCAATATTCTATAATAATTTTTGGGCTGTAAATAACAACCACCAAGTATAAATGCACCATTGGCATCACTAGCATCAGCTGATGATACCACCTTAAATTTTGGCATATAAGTCCAGCGACCCATAGCAAATACTTTCAAAAGAGCGATTGCAGTTATTTTCTGCAATGCTCTTGAACTTTGCCAATTTAATGCATCTGCATTAAATAGATCTTTCGTAATATCACTTCAGAAGTAGAGCATTCTGTGGTATATCAAAAATTCGACCATCTAGTCTACGTAATCAGTATATATCTTGTGTAACACAATTATGTATGACGAACGGTCCAAGCCACCTGAGTAAGAACTTTCCAGTATGACGTTCAATTTGAGTAGCATCAAATAAAAGTACCTTTTCTCCATTCTGAAATATTCTGAGTACTTGTTTAAGCTTTTTGTCTCAGTAAAACTTTTGCCTATTTTGGGCTTTTCTAACATTCGTTTTCGCGACTTCTCTTTTAATAGGTAGGTCATTAACGATTGTAGTTAATCGGTCAACCATATTTTCTTGAATGTCATTTTCTTCCTGAAAGTTCAGAAATCGGGCTTCTCTCTCGTATGTCAAGTAGAATGGAGTAAATTTAGTTGTGGATTGTTTACTAGTCCTATAGGCATAGAGCACTGAGGGTATAAGAACGTCTCATTCTTGCTCTTGTTTGATCAATTTTGCCAAGGACTCATATAAGGTATGGTTGTATCTTTCGACCAACCCATTGGTCTGTGGGTAGTAGGGCGTGGACATTAGATGTTTAATTTCAAAATTTCTTACTAAAAAGCAAATTACTTCGTTATTGAAATGTAGACCTCTATCAGATACTAGGTATGAAGGGCATCCATGTCTACAAACGATTTTATCAAAGATGAATCGTGCAGTCTGTTGAGCATCAGCGGCAGATACTGCTTTTGCTTCTGGCCATTTGGTCATATAATCAACTACCACAATAATATACTTGTTTTCTTTTGTAGTTAGATCCAGTGGTCCCATGAAATCAATTCCGATTTTGTGGAATAGTGCTTCGACAGGTATAAGTTGCAAGAGGCCGCAAATTCTGTATTTCCTGCATTTTTGGCATATATCACAGGTTTTGATGTATTCTTTTATTGAGTCATACATCTGGAGCCAATAATATCGACTCTTTATCTTCTCTAGTGTCTTTTTCGTTCCGAGATGGGCTCCTAATTGATGCATATAGGTGATGTATAAAATTGGTTCTATTTCATGTTGTTGTACTATACACAACAATTTATTCTTAGTTTGCTTCCTCTGATCCTTCTTGTAAAGTAGGTAGTTTTGTAGAATATAAAATCTACTTTGGGATTCTAATTGTTTTCTCTGTTGTCTATCGAATTGGGGCGAGTATTCTGCTGTCTCCAGATATTGTTTAATCTGCTGATATTTAATTGGATTCAATTTTTTTTTATAATTACTAACTGTTATTTATTTATTTTGTTTATTTGTACTTTTAGTTTGTAATGTTCTAGAAGTTGTGTTGATAGTAGCAGAGACCGACCTGCAAAGTTTTTCATCTTTTGTGAACAAAATAGGTGAAAATTGAGTTGTACCTCAAAGGTACTTAACCGGATTGGTGGTCTTCTACCAAATAGAGTTACAGAGATAAGTTTTGGAAAAGTTGTTGAATTCCCTATAGTAATATTCTGAAGGTTTTTCTAATAACTCTAACCACTAGAGCAACTTGATTAAGTCCTCTGTTGGAAACGATATTGGGTTATCCTTACCTTCATCAGTAAAGTCCAGTAATAAGTTTTTGCTAATACTGTCACTTTCCTATAATTCTATTGGAGTATCATCAATAAGGTTGATACTGTTCCAGGTAAAATTGCTTAGAGATTCTACATTACTCCATGTATAGTCATTTTAGTGGTAATATTTAACTGATTCATCATCGCTTGGAGTCTCCCAGTAGCTCTTTGTGACTTTATCAACCGGGTATCATTTCAAAGTGATCCACAGTTTCAGGTCACTGTGACACTTGCCACATTCATCTATTGGCGAATACAGCTTGTTTCCACACCAACATTGGGTGGTAGGTCCTTTTCAGTCCCTTGTTAGGTGTTTTCCTTTTGTTTTCTGTTTCAATCAATCACTAACATGTTCGATGTAATACTATATGCAGTGCTGTTGCTCATAGTAAATTCCTTTTGGAGTAAACTCAACATTCTTATAGTGATAGAGATACTCTGTCAAGCTCTTAGATAGGTTGTAACTTAGAGTTTTCCTTATTACTTCTCTTCGGTTTTCCTTAAATGGCCTTCTATTACTCTTTCTAATTGATTCTTGTAATTTCAATACTTGCAAAGAGGCTTCACTTTCATCATCAGTGGGTATGAACCGGTCACTTATAAATTTTACTGTGATCCTACTTTTTACTGACTCATTATCTTCTGTTCTTACTATGTATACTTCTTGCTGATCTTCTTTTTCTTGAGTATACATTCTTGATAGGGCGTCAGCATTGCTATGTTTTCGTCCCGTGCAATGTATAATTGTAAAATTATATAGCTCTAATTGCATAATCCATCTAGCATGTTTCCCTTTAAGTTCGGAAGTTCTTAACCACTGCAGAGCTGAGTGGTCAGTAATTAGATAGAATGGCTTAGACCCAAGGTATTGATGAAAGTGCTCAACTGCCCAGATTACAGCCAGGCACTCTAATTTCAGAATTGAATAGTTTTTTTTTGTTTTACTTACTCTCCTACTAGCATAAGCAATAGCATATTCTCTTTGATTTTTGTCCAGTTGGGCTAAAACAGCTTCTAACCCTGATGTGAACGTGTCTGTGTGTAAGTAAAAAGGTCGGTTATAGTCTGGGTACCTTAGAATCAGGGCTGACATCAAATAATTTTTTAGAGTTTGGAAAGCTTTATCTTGGTCTTTTGTTCAATAATAAGGCTTATCCTTGTTTAGCAATTTATTGAGGGGTTTGGCTATTTTTGAAAACCCTTTAATGAATCTTCGGTAATAAGATACAAGTTCTAGAAACGATCGTACTTGCTTTAGTGACGTTGGAATAGGAAAGTTTTTTATTTTTTCTTGTCCAGATAGATCCTCTAGTCACTAACTATGTGGCCCAAAAATTTTATTTTGTTTAGAAAAAATGAACATTTTTTCAAATTACACTTTAGTTTAGCTTTTCTGATTTTGTTGAAAACTTGCTGCAAATATTCCACGTGTTCTTGAAACGTTTTAGAGTAAATAACTATGTCGTCTAAATAAATGACTACAAATTTGTTAATGAATGGGTCAAGAATGCTGTTCATTAATCTTTGGAAGGTTGAGGGCACGTTACATAACCCAAACGGCATTATATTGAATACGTAAGTGCCAAACTTGGTTATGAAGGCTATCTTTTTCTTGTCTTTTTCTCTAACAGCTACCTGCCAGTATTTTTGGCCAAGTTCAAGCTGGTAAACCACTTGGCTCTTTTGAATTCCAATAGGACTTCGTTGATGTTTGGTAAAGGGTATATATCCTTTTCAGTAACTATATTTAATTTATGGTAATCAATGCATATTCTTTTTTTTCATTTTTCTTAGGTACTAGGACCACTGGGGAAGTCCAGAGACTCTTGATTGAAAAAATGATACCTTGTTTTTCCATGGCTAAAATTTTGTATTTGAGGAATTCTTGTTCATTACAAGCTATAGTGTATGGGTATTGCTTTATAGATTTAGCGCTCCCTGTCTCTATTTTATGGCATACTAGATTGGTTTGCTCTAGGCCAACTGTCTGCCCATTTTTACTTATCTTTTCTGCGAAAACTTTCACAATCTTTATCAGTAGGTCTTCAGCTTGTTGCAACTGCCTGTTGTTAAGGTTCAGGTTTACTTCAAATGCCTTTGTATCCTTTTTTTGTTGTTTTAGTGTTGTTGTTTCCGTTAGATATATGGTGGGATTATCCTCCGTCCAAGAGTTATAGTATAAGTTTTCTTCTTCTTCAAAAGATATGTCGCTATAAAAGACTTGCTGAACCTCTTCATCTTGTTTCAGTTTATCTAGCCAGTCTTCTTCGTTCGTGAACTCTTCCAGTTCTTGATGGTAGCTATTGCTACTAATATGGGTCGCATTTACTGTTATCTGCTTACCCAGGTATTTCACATATAAAGTATTGTTATCAAAGTCTAGCTTAGCGCAAGACTTATCAAACCAATCTGTCCCTAGAAGTAAGGTCTTCTCTTGGGAGTCGATTACCTATAAATCTATAGGTAAATAAGTTCTATAGGACTATTTTGACTTCACTAATAATCCTTAAGGCCTTCATTCGGTTTCTATTGGCTGTTATAATAACAGTCTTAGAGGGTTTGTCTATTTCTAACCCTAATTCTTCTATTAACTTTCTGGTAATAATGCTGACAACAGCACCAGAATCTAAAATAGCAATAACCAGATTTTTTTTTATATGAATGTAATATCGCATAGCCACGGTTTTTTGTTTTTTATCCGCTTTGATTAAATTAGCTTCAGTACTAGGCGCCTTTTTTCGCCTAAGTATTTTTGCTAGGTTTTGTCTTTGATTCGGATATTGCAATAGTTGTCCTAACGTGGCTTTGGCTAGCATGGATAACAAATCTTCGGCAATATTATAAGGCTTGAGCCTATCAATTTCAAAGGGTAATCTTTTCTTCACTACCCTTTTCACTAGAGTGTTTTCAAATTCTATGAGATCTTCTATGTCTTGCATCTGGTCCGTAGATGCTTTAGTTGGTAAGCTCTGTTCTTTTTGGGCTTTAAGTTGTTTTTGTTTTTCCTTCTGGTCTTTTCTATTGGTATTATAGAGTTGAGGACAGTTTATATAAACTTCTTCCACCTCCTTATCCATGACCAGATCAATTAAATTAATATTTTTGTTGTTGTGGTCATTATTAGGTTTCTTAAGGACTTGGTAGAACACGTCCTTTAGTTTTTCAGACATACACTTGTTTGCGAAGTAATCTACTTCGCTACACCTAAAACAAATAATATTCTTCTTCTTTTCTTGAGAAGATAAAGATGTCTTAAATGTATCCTTTTTTTCTACTTAAGCCAATAGAGCTGAAGTAATAGTAGCATAATTGAGGCTCATTTGCTCCATTTGCTTCGTTAATTGTTCGATTTGCTTTTCATAGTTCTTAGACCGGAAGGTTGGCTTGGATTTGCGTTGTAGGCGAAGTTTTCCTGTGCTCATGATGCTTGGCTAACTCTAATATTGTCTCTACCGTAGTGGGTTTATGCATCAATATTATAAGCAACATGTCTGACCTTAGGCTCTTTATGAAGTAGTAGAATTGATTATTAGCTGATAAGGTAGTATCAATTTCTACTCTGTCTACTATCTTTCTGAAACGACCATGGTAAGGTTGACTGATTCTTCTGGTAATGCCTTAAGGCATTTATTTCTTGTCTTTATATGTTTTTCCAATGTTGGTTACAAAAGTGTTTTTTGAACTCTTTCTTTGTATTATCCCAGTCTGCTGCCGTGTCAGCAGACAGCTTATTGTCATTATAATGTGTCAGCTACCAATCATCCACAGCGTCTTTCATAAAAACTGACATAATTTGTCTTATTCTTTTTTTACTCCAATTATTAGCAGCGGTGGCCTTCTCAAAGTTTTCTATCCAGGTTAGAGGGTCTTGGGAGCTATCTTCTTTAAAGAAATCAACGCGGATCAAAATACTTTCTTTTTGATTATTCTTAAGATAATCAAGTACGTCTTTGGCGAAGGTCCTGTTTACTGTATTAGGGCTTGTGGTAATAAGGGCAAACAGATTTGTTTAAAAATACTGGGTATGTAAGGCTACATTTGTAATTACTTTATATATCTCTAGGAAATTTCCTGGGATCTGTGTATATGTAATACTAAAAATTAACTTTGTAATTATATTTCTACAATGCAAGGACTGGGGTTGCTGAATCGCAGCCTCTAGGTTTTTAAAATAACTATACATTTTCGATATATAGAGTTTTGCAAAATAAGTGGGGTATACCAATTTGCAAATTGGTAAAAGATTTGAGATATTTTCTTTGGAAGGGGATAACAAAGTTCGCAGAAGTCTACTTTGTTATATGAATGTAAGGTTAAATGATTGATTGGTCCTGTGTTCTTAGTTAAGCTAAAATTCATACACTAAATCTGTACAACTTTTACAATTTATTTTATAGAGAAACTCAATCCCATGATTTCGATAACTTAGAGAATTCTATCTCACAGTCACTACCAAAAATATCACACCCAAACTAACCTCTTCTAGTAGTTCAAGGGATGGGGACGATATAGTACTTGGGCTATATCTATGGTGATGTGAAAGATAAATGGTAAAGTTTTAACCCGACTTTATTAAAGAGGATTTATGTAAGGCTTTATTGAAAGAGGCACAACTGCTAATATATATGAGGATATATTAGGTTGTATTGTATTTCTTTAACAATTCTGTTAACAATGGACATTTAGGTCACGTGGTCACGTGGTCACGTGATAATGTTCAAATGAATTTTATTAAATAGAAAATTAAATTTAACGTGTATAAAGACATGGCTACTTTATCTAATCGATAAAGTAACTAACAAATATAAAAGAGGTAAAAATGGATATTTCTATGTTAAGAATTCTAAGCTAAGAAAGTTCTAAGCTAAAGTAAGCCGAAAGTAAGGGCCTTAAATACATGTTTTGCGAGAAGTATCTCCCTTTAATCTACTATTTCGTTGGTTCATTCTATTTTTATTTAGTATGTTCACTAATTTACTTTGCTTCTTAAGTGAACCACTCAATTAGTTTCGCAAATATTTAATAGACATGATGTATTCTGTGCCTTTACTTACGCATTGTCTTGCAGATTATACACCTTTATAGCATGCATAACTGTGGCATCCAGGGAACTATAGGGACTATGATTTCTAGCGTAACACCAGTATATTTTTAAAGAATGAATTTTCCTTGAAGAAAAGAAATTACATTTTGTATTATGTACTGAGAAAAAAAAAAAATGTCCTGTCCGAAAATAATCAACCGCCCAAGATCTGTTTTCTTAAAGTTTTACTAGTAATAAGCTTAGTTCTTAAAATACAAAAATTAACTATTGATTTTTTAGAAATTGCATACAGATTCGAATGAGTGGTATTTATTACAAATTTATTAACCTTATATTGAATTTTACTTATTAAAAAACTATAGTACAAGTTGCAAAAAATGTATTAAAGAATTAGAGATGTTAGAAGAAAGGGTGCGCTATCTAGAAGAACAAATAAAAAGTAGAGATATTGAGAAGATATAATCACGAAACAACACGAGTAAAAATTTAACAATCCACATGATTAATTATTGGGAATGTTGAGTAATTTAGTATATTATCTTTTTATATAGATTTTAGAATTGAAAGATAATTCTGCAACAAGATATTATGCTATTTATCAAAGAAATTTAGATAAATTAAAAATTGAATAAACAACTTTTATTACTTTTATTAAAAATTGAAAGAATCATAATTTTTTACAATTTTTGTGGGTGCTTAAGATGTTTATAAAACCAGTAAAATCAGATAAATTTTATAAAAACAATAAATTCATATCAAGTAATACTGTAATATATTTTTATGACAAAACTAAAATTCGAAAACCACAAAAAATTTCAAATCTATTTTTTGCAAAAAGATGTGGCCAGGAAAATTTAGATTGTCTGTTGTTTTATATTTTTGATCGGTTACGTTTATATTTCTTTGAATTAATAAAATTCTTAAAATCGATAGAACCTTCGATTCTCACATAAAAAAAAACACATCTTTCATACATTAAAATTAGTAATAACATCTGATTTGTTTTTTTTTTTTTTTTTTTTTTTAGAATTTTAAGACTTCCACAGCAATTTTTGTGCAACCTAAGAAAATTGGTCAACCTATTTTTTTTATCAATAAATGAAGGTAGATTTTTTTAAATAATACAAGGTTTAATAAAAATTCAATATTTTATAATTTATAACTTTTTTTTGATAGGTGTTTGAATATACCAAACCTTTCATATAATAACAAAATTTAAATCGAATTACTCATTTTGTCGAAATTTAGAGACACAATTACCAATCTAAAATTTTTATAAACAATTTGTAATGAACACAAAGTCAGGATAAAATTTAGAAAATTTATGTATATTATTTTTATATTCCGCAACAGAAATGAAGCTGGAATGTAAAGTTTATATTATCAGACTAGCTTTTCTTAAACTATTTTATTACTCAATACTTGAATATTACCGAAAAATTTAGCGAAGATTGTGAAAAGTAATTTATTTAATTATAAGTAATCTGATTTTATTTAATACAATCCAATTTTTCAAACATAACGGACATTTTTTCAACACAAAAAAAAATCACCCCCAAAAAAAAAAAAATTAATTGTTGTTGTTTTCAAAAATAAATAGCAATCTAAAACTTGTTCTTGTTGAAGAACAACTTACTATGTCCAAGGTAAAATCATGAATGATACAAGTCAATTTTCGAAGCAATATAAATTGAATAGGAATATATAAAATGTCGATTGTTTGTTTTTGGCTGAAAAGGAATAGACCACTAGTCGAGGACGAAATATCGTTCTCCTAGCATATAATAAAACTCAGTTAATAACTACATAACTGCACATATTAAATAACAATATTTCATTAGTGACAATGCAAACTCTATCGGAAAGAAAACTCCACTCCTTTTCAAGGATCATGGAAAACCTGACTGTTCAACAAATAACAAAGATGGTTAATTAGATTGCACCCTTGTGCTAACACCGAGGTAACAAACTAAAGCCACCCTTGCTAAGTGTCAGGTTGGTCCTTCAGAGTGTGCCTTTGTGCGAACGCTGAGACAGTCTCTTGATTAGGGTTTGCTCAGACAGAAACTTCTAGTCAATAAGGCAAGCATATAACAATCCCTTATACAGAAATGAGTAGACCTAATCAACAGGGAAACTCCTTTCAAGGATCATAAAAAACCTGGCCATTTAACAAATAAAAAGGCGGTTGATTCAGAGTGTATCTTTGTGCTAATGGCAAGGTAACAAACTAAAGCCATCTTTGTTAAGTGTCAGGTTGGTTCTCTAGAGTGTACCTTTGTGTAAACGCCAAAACAGCCTCTTAAAAAAGGTTCTTTCAGTACTATAAAAATATAACTACCTTGAAATTTACTCCATCCACTTATTGCATATTATTTCGTTATTTCAGTGTTTAGGTCTGTAGGTAGTATTTGTTGTTATCATATTTTTGATTTTTAAAAAATTTCATTAGCCAATCAGATTTCAACCTTAAAACAGCCTATTTTATACACATCTAATACAGTACTAACAGTCACATGATTTGTCACATCTAAAATTTTATCATATGATTTTCATAAATTACACAAATCAATGAATTTACAATTTTTGATTTATCACCCAAAACCTTAGTTATAATATACAATGTTTCTTAAACAACATTGTTACTGAAGTTTCAACAAATCCAAAGGTATCAAGAATATAAAAAATAAACTTTTCCTTGTGAAGTTACGTGTCTTTGAAAGTGGGCAATTATTTTACCTACTTCTGCTTGATTCTTCTCAGGTTCGTAAACTCATTAGGTGTGTCAAAGCAAGAGCTTTCGCCAAAATGCATGTGTGAAGGGTCAGTGCATTATAAACATATTAGAGAAAATCAAGGAAAACTATTTTCTAGTAAGTAGATCACTTATTAATT